TCAAATCTTGTCAACTAACTTTTCCACATCAGTTGAGATGATCATGTGGTTTTTGTCCTTTATTCTGTTAATGTGGCATATTATATTGATTGATTCTTATATGTTGCACCTCAGTAATAAATTCCACTTGGTGATGGTGTACAATGCTTGTAACGTACTGTTGAATTTGGTTTGCTAGTACCATGCTAATCTTCTCTGTATTGCTCCAATTTTAGCAGATGCACTGCCAAAGGGAACACTCCCACAGCTTTACTTTTTAAATATGGTATAATGTAAACATACATTAAATTTAGGCTATCAAATGAGTTAACGACCAAAAATTCTTTTCTACATTTGAAACACACAAAAATTAAGACACAGATGTGCTATTGTCTGTTTATTGTTTTCTTTGAGGAATTGGGCATCACCTCCTATACTTCAACCTTAATGTTAGCAAATGACTGACTGACTCTTTGGAAGGTGCTATGAAACAATTTGGCCTATAGAGAGCATCTGTATTTGCCGGTTCTATAATATTATATGAAACTTGTTTGTAAATAAACCTAAATTGTTTAAAATAAATAAGGATACAAATAATACGTACTGAGAATTCAGTTCTTTTCCAACATATGCAATAATTCAGACTTTAGGGTATGTAAAATACAACACCTCATGCAGAGTAATGTGCAGAATATGCGGAGTAACAAAAATTCTCTCCTTGACCAAACTCTAGCCAGTCTCCTCAGCCATTTGTGGACTAGGCCTCAACAGACTTGAACAAAACTCTAACACAGTCTCTAACAGTTCAAGGTAGCATCTCTAGGATGACTCCAGCCCCGCTTTAAAGGGCCTGCCTGAAAAAACTCAGGCTGCCAAAGGAATTTATTGTTCCAGCCTACACCTTAAGATATGATCCCTGTCTCCCAGCCTCTGTGGGAGGATAAGAGCCTAACTTCCAGAAACACCATTTAACAAACCCAGATGGGTTTCACGCGTACTAACCCGCACTTCGCACTTTTTGTAATGTTTCACTTCCCTCACTCTTCTGAGCGCCCCCTCATTCCTCTCCCCTTCCCTATTCCCCCACTTTTCCTTTAAAGTCTGAGTAATATTTGTACAAATCAAAGTTAAGTTCAGTTCGTGCTGGACTCTTCCCTATTCCATTAGTATATGACTGGTTAAAACCTGTCCTAACCACTTCACTGTCCTGCTTTGTCTTTGACAAGAGTACGGGGGTGGATTTATTTTTCTGGCTGAGTAGAGATCCTAATGTCAGGCACTGCGGTCGGTGAGGGCTACGATTCTTTGGAGAAAAGTTCCAGGGGTCTATACCATTGGAAACTAACACCAGCTAAAAGGATTTTCTGCTCTGCGTCACCACTCATGGAAGTTGCTGGTTCTGATCTAGAGCTGGGAGAGGTTAACAGGTGATTACAAAGCCGAGGATGTTTCGTCAACTTCCTGGAACAATTCCACCAGTCAGAGCCCAAACCGGGGGCAAAGGAGGAAAAGAAACTCGAAGCAGGGTGTGACCAGGGTAGACAGGCTGAAAAAGGGAACAAAATGTAACATCCTAAGAGAAAGTAGGGGCGGAATAAAGGTACTAACCTTCGCCCGCAGCTCAAATTCTACGCCGGCGCCCGGAGCAGTGCCCTGTTGCCTAGCGACGGCGCATGCACACTGAGCAGCGCGAGCCCCTAAACACGCATCCGCGCCTGCGCAGCCGCAGGTCGCCGGGATGCTGATGTCGGCCGGGGGCTTCTGTGAGGCGCTTGGTATCACTCCGTGTTGATACTCTCCAGTTACCCTGTAGGCGAGTCTCGGTCACAGAAAGAAAAGGTGAATTCGCAGCTGAGAGCCCTCCTCTCCGACCTTTTTTTTTTTTTTTTTTTTTTTTTTGAGAGACGGAGTCTTTTTCTGTCACCCAGGCTGGAGTGCAGTGGCGCGATCTCGGTTCACTCAGATCTGCCTCCCGTGTTCAAGCGATTCTCCTGCCTCAGCCTTCTAAGTGATCAGCCCGCCTCGGCCTCCCAAAGTGCTGGGATTACAGGCATGAGCCACCGCGCCCGGCCGTCTTCGATCTTTACACGCATTCTTCGTGTTATCTGAAGACACTCTGACGCCACCACCCAAAGCAACTGGCAGTTGACTCTTGGGAATTTTAAGCTTGTGTGGGAAGCAGCCGCCGCCCGGTAGTTCCTTTTTTATCTAGAGACACCCGGGACGTGGGGGAACACCCCAGCAATGCCATCCCTCCTTTGACCTCCAGAGCGCGCAGAATTACAAAGTTCAGTAATAGTTGATTTGAAAAAAGGAAAAGTGCGTACACACACACACACACACACTTACATAGGCACAGGATAATCGCAAAGTATAACCAGCAACTGATAACTGATTTCCTCAGCGGAGAATAAAGTGGGTAACTGAAGGACAAGAATGAGAAAGGACAGTTGCGTTTGTTTGTATCGTTTGAAATTGCCCAGTGTGCATGTGTTCTTTTTAAATGTTTGAAGAGCCATTGGCTCCCTTATCAAATTGTACATACCAAGGAAACTCAGGAATTTAAGAAGTCTCAGTAGAATTCTGTAATGCTGGGTAGAAGTTTGTGTGTGTGTGAAGCTAAAACGTCTTTTGTAAATCACGGAGTCTTCCTGTTTATTTCTGGTTAGAGATCTTTGGGAGCTTGGATGGAGGAACAGGAAAAGAGGAGCCTGGCTTTTTTGGAAAATTGGCAGCGGTGACATACGGGAAACTGAAATCTTTATCTCATCTCATCCTTTGTATATTCATTTTGGATTTGCTGAAGAAAATTAAAAGGTGAATTTTGCTGTGAGCTCAGTGAACTCAAACTTCAATTGAAAGGGAACATATGCTGTTTATTTTTGTGAAGGACATTAATTGGCAGGGTTGAGACCTGAAGTTCCTCTTTTAGATAAGGAAAATTTCCCTTGGTAAGAAATCTCTAGACTGGTTGTGATAGATTCCTAACCCCCAACCTTGAAAGGTAACTTAAGGCTCCCTACTCTAAGGGAAGGACTGAGGAAAATAATTAAACAGGCAACTGTGCCTACAAAGATTTGCAAAAAAAAAAAAAAAAATAGGACACTTCTCATTCGTGGGGTCAAGCCAGAGGCATCAACTTTGTGACCTAGTGAGTGGTTAGTGGATCTAGGCAAGGGTAGTAACTTGGGACCAGAGATTAGGGATCCAAAAAGTTGAAAATTAAAGACAAAGGCCAGAGGTTATAACTTACTGCTTCTTAGTTTGCCTTGTTTGTAAGTAGGAAGCCAGAAGTTGAGCTCCCAAATAAAATGTTTTAGGGATTGTGTTTCTTAACTCCAAAAGCCAGTACATTTACAAAGAAGTAAATGAAACCTCATAGGTAATGAAACAATGAGACTGAGCAATGCCTGGGATTAGAAATTCCCAAACAGAGGAGAAAAAAACACATCACAGAAGAGTCATACTTAGTAAAGTTTATTAAAAAAAAAAAAAAAACAATAATTTATGCCCTCGGCAAAATAAAAGATCGTCTCAATATAAATGTTTCTTAGAAAATGTATGAAAAGATAATATAATATATATTAATAAATCAATATTAACATTACAGCAAAAGTAATAATCATATAACAATGACAAGTGAAGATATTTCTCGCCCTTACACAGTAGTATTTCTGGAAGGTCTCTGATTCCTGCTTGCTCTAGTACAGACGTGCTGTCACTTTAAGAAAGCCTGATGCCGCTAGGGGTGGTGGCTCATGCCTGTAATCCTAGCACTTTGGGAGACCCAGGCGGGCAGATTGCCTGAGGTCAGGAGTTTGAGACCAGCCTGGCTAACATGGTAAAACCTTGTCTCTACTAAAAATACAAAAATTAGCTGGGCATGGTGGCACACACCTGTAGTCCCAGCAACTCAGGAGGTTGAGGCAGGAGAATCGCTTGAACCCGGGAGGCAGAGCTTGCAGTGAGCAGAGATCGCACCACTGCACTCCAGCCTGGGTGACAGAGCAAGACTCTGTCTCCAAAAAAAGAAAAAAAAGAAAGCCTGATGCACACAAATCTAAATTTAGGAAGTCAATCAATTAAAGGATATTCATTTGCATCAAAATTCTTTACTCCCCCCAAAAATCAATAAAAAGTTAAAATAGCAACGTTTCCTAATGTGTTTAAAATGTAATTAACCAAATACATGTGTCCCCAACTTCTTTCCAGTTGTAATTCTATTGCATAAAGTGAGGTATACCTGAAGTGAGGCAATAAGAGCGTTGACCTTCAGACCTGCCTGGAGAGAGTGTGTTCTTTCTTAGAGTCTGAGGAAATGGTTGGGGGCATAAGTTCTCTCAATATTTTTCTTTTCCCTCATCCTGAGCTCTTATTTTCTTGTCTCAACTGCTTTCTGGTAAACTTTGTTCACCTGGTACTTTCAAGAAAAAAAGGAGGAAATCTTACGACAGGGAAGCAGATTAATGAATTAGTGGGTCACTCCAGCAGCGCAGAGCAAGGGAGAATCTGGGTGTGATCGTACTTGGGGAAAAGCAGGAACAATCTTAAACTCTTGACATGGTGCATCTGAGGCCCCTCTCCAGTAGGGCCACCTGAGTCCCTGAGGAGCCGCAAGGCCTAGTCCAGCCCTCCCGAGATGGGACACATCCTCAGGAGAATGGATGCAGGCCTATTTATCACACTCCTCCTGGCTGCCTTCAGCACAGTGGTAGTGCTGCTCACAGAACTCCTGGATCCGGCTGCACGCCTCCAGCATCATCACCTTGGGGACTGTGATGACCACTCGGATGAAATTCGGGTACTCGAAGCACTGCTAAAAGAAAAGCCTGTTACTTTCAGAGCAATTGAGTCTGGTACTGGACGACCCTAAAATGGTCAGGACCCTGATCCACAAGAAGTGGTACCATTTCATCAGGGCCATCAGTTCATTCAGTTCCCATCACTGGAATGCTAAGTCAGCAACTGAGTTCATTCATCTTAAAAGGACTTGTGGGACAGGCTCGTTTTCCTCTCACCTAGAATGTTTGTTTACAACTTTTCTTCCCAATATGGATGGAATTATGACCGGGGGGAGAAGCAAATTTTAAATAGGCTCCATGAGACACATCAGTTTGAATCTTTTCAAATGAGAAGATATTTTGTTGGAGGAGAAAAGATCAGACTAAAAACCAGCTCAGAGCTTGCTCCTGGGGCTCTAGAAACTGTTGAGAATGTTGAGAGACACAAGCACCCACCGTTGCTGGGAGGCAGTGGACAGACTGCTCAGCAACTAACCGCTCCGTGAACTCCACATCGTTCTCAAATTCTGGGAAATGTTCCATCTCAATTCCAACCTATACCAACAGGAGGGAGAGGCCAACTTATCAGAAGGAGGGAGAACAGGCCAATTTCTATGCCAGAAATTAAGATAGGGGCTACTTTAAAAGATGTCTTGGAACTGTACTACTGATCCCTGCTAAATAAGAGGGCTAATACTTACGGAATTTTTCTCAGGGAAGAGAGGATACATTTTTATTAATAATTTATTAAAGAGTTCCTTCCCAGACGCTGATAAATAAAAGCTGGAAATAGAATGCTAGTATGTCTCAAAAGAGACACTATTGGCATTAGGGCCAAGCAATTCTTTATGGCATGAGACTAGCCCACCCCTTGCAGGATATTTAACATCCCTGACCCACAAAATGGCAGCCCTAGTCATTCTGTAAACAAACAAAATTCCCGTGTATTCCCAGATACCCTTAGGGAACCAGTATCACTCCCAGTTGAGAATTACAATGGTATAAAAAGCCTCTTTTTTGTGTCTTAAATCTTCCGTGTATCTACATATATAAAATGATTCTCTGTACTGAAGAAATAAATCTTTTTTTTTCCTCATCTTTTCAGATGGGGTCTCACTCTGTCTCCCAGACTGGAGTGCAGTGGCACGATCAGGGCTCACTACAGCCTCGACCTCCCAGGCTCAAGTGGTTCTTCCATCTCAAGCCTCCTGAGGAGCTGGGACTACAACAGTGTGCCACCACGCCCAGCTAATGTTTTTTATTTCTTGTAGAGACAACAGGGTTTCACCATGCTGCCCAGCCTGGTCTCTAACTCCTGTGCTCAAGTGATCCGTCCACCTTGGCCTCCCAAAGTGCTGGGATTGCAGGCGTGAGCCACCATGCCCTGCCTAATTCAGTCATTTAAAGAGTTTTATGAGAACTGATAGAGGCTAAATTACCTCAGTGGGACAATTCAGAATAAGACAACTCCTAAACTGCCTGGCCCAGGAGGCTAGCTGATTGTCTTTGTACCCTGCGTAGTGGCAATTCTGCTGAATGACTGCCCTTTGCCTTACAACATGCATAGATCTAGGGCCTGCCACCCACATACTCACCATGAGGTACATGGCCCCAGAAGGGCGGACTGGCCGGAGTCCGGGGATGGCAGCCAATGCCCCATAACAGAGATCAGCACTGGACTACAAGAGGAGGCAAGGAGAAATCAAGGATCAAAATTTAAGTAAAAGACAAGTCATTAAAAACAGACCCCTCGTTGAAGACTGAGAATGTAGGTGTGATGTTCTGGCATAAGGAGTGAAAAAGAAAAAGCTCTATCACTTGAAGCTTTTCACCAGGGGCAGAGAGAACGGCCGGAAGTGAGAAACATGTGGGTGGATGCTTACACCGATGCCATATCCTAATATTGGAACGTGGCTCCAGAAAGGAGAACCAATTATTCCTAATTCCACAGGTGGCATTCTCTGACTCCCAAACTCCCAAAGTGGAGGGCAGGAGCTGCCCTTACCTTGAGGAAGCTCAGAGTGTTGTGGTAAAACTCTTCCGGGGTGCGACGGAGGATGCTTTTCAGAGCTCCCTGGACAATGGTACAGGGTCCCAAGATGCGCTGACTCAGCTTTGCCAGCCCATCTCGGATCTAAAAGACAGACACAAGAAACATGTTGTTTAGATTTTCTTAAGCATCTCTGTCTTAGGATTTCTTGTTCTGACCTTTCTATCAGATTTTTAATATTGGGAAGTGATGGTGTCTAGTGGCGTTCTTAGATCAGACCGTCTGGGTTCGTAGCCCAGCTCTGCCACACACCTGCTGTGTGACTGACAAGGAGAAAAAAAAGAAGAAAGCCTCCCTTGTCTCCACTGTGCTCACGAAGTAAATATATACCCTAAATTACACATACTCTTTCACCATACTGTTCTTACCTCATTGCCAAAAATGTCTCTTCGGTCATGAATGAGGATCCAGCCCATCCTCCAGCCAGGAACCAGCCAGCGCTTGGCCAGCCCTCCACAGGACAGGACGGGGACGTCGGTGCTGAGGGTGGCCAGTGGTTCATATTTGCAATCCGAAAACACCTGAGAAGAAGTACTTGTTGTGGTTGTTTTCTTGTCTACTTCTCACTGCAATCCCAGATCCCATGCCTCCCACCCATTTTCTTCTATCACTAGGGACAGGTCCTTGGATTAATGGGATCATCCCTACCCTGAAGCATGATTGGGATTGCAAGAGGCTTCAAAGGGGACTACACAAAGACATTTAATTTGGTATCTGGGCTGGATTAGAGGAAGCCTAAAATAAGGAAACTGAACCTAGCCCAGTAATATTTACAACTCCATGAAGCTGACTCTATGAAATTCCTGTCTATAGGAGTTAGAGATTTAAAATATGAGTCCACAATCTCTTATCTGAAATTCCTGGGGCCAGGTATGTTTCATAATCCAGAATGGTTTGGGCTTTAGAAAGGCCACGTAGCACATTTACCGTATGTTATGTAACACTCCCAGAGCTGTCTAGGATAGTAACCTGAATCAAGAATATTGACATTTCTGCCAATTTCCCCACACTCTTAACAAATATATAGATCCGTAAGTGGGAAAAATAAAAATTTACAAATATCAGGTCAAATCAGGTTTTGCAACCAAATGAATTCCAAGAATGTTTGGATTTCCAAAGTTCTTTGGGTTTCGGAAAACTGGCTAAGGAGTTGTGGGTCTGTGTATTTGTTAAAAGTGCAGGGATACCGATTTGCTGTAATGAAACAATTAGGAGTTACTTCCGATTATTCCACTTCTAAAGTTTTCATAAAATAATTTGAGATTATTGTAGTGATATATCCTGATCAAGACTCACCATGTCTCCATAGATCTCATCAGCTAAGATGGGGACACACTGCCGTGCAGCCACTAAAAATAAAAGAAACATGCTGAAATCGGTTTTAATGTGAATTGCTTTATCATGTAATAGTCACATAATATCATGTAATTTCCCTATCCCGTAATATTAAGAAGTTACCATTCTTAAAGAGGAGGACAAAAAGCACGAAGTGTGCTTTGCATTTGACGTCTGTGTGTTTTGTCTTCCTATTTAAGAACTGTAAATTCTTAATATACTCTTCCAGAGTGCAGAGCCTGAATTCGCCATTTAAGTAACTAGATATTTCAGACCCTATCTTCAACATGATGGGAGTGATGAAGAGGCAAGTATTATTTATTTTTCTCCTGGGATTGATAAACAGACAAGTATTTCTTCATTTAGGCAAGCCCTACCACTCCTATCACACAGTATTGATGAGCGACGTCAGTGGAGCTCCCCACCTCCACCCCAGGCTTGGAACTTGACTGGTTTTTGTCATTTCACACAACAGCTGAAGGATTCTGTCCCCACCTCGTCCTCTGTGAAGTCTGCTGGACATACCTGCCAGAATCTTCTGAAGATGACGTTTGCTGAACACTGACCCACAGGGGTTTGATGGATTATTGACAATGAGACAAGCTGTCTTTTCATCAATCAGAGATTCCAGTTGTTTCAGGTCAATTTCCCAAGACTTCTCTGGCTGAAGAGAAAGAAAGGATGAGACTAAGATGATTCAGAAACATTTAGGGGGAATCCTCACTTATCTCAAGGGTCCCATGTAAGCAATAAAGTCTGTCTCTGGCTTCAACCACCACTTTGAGACCTTCCTCTGCTGAAGTAATGGTCATATATTTTTTACAGGGTAGTAACTGAGCATTTGAGTCTAAGATTAAAAAGTCATTTACCAACAAATTGTAGAGTTTGACCTCAATTCCCATAGATTCAGCCAGAGTCCTGTAGAGAGAGAAACCAGGTCTTGGAACCAGGATGTTTTGCCCTGGGTTGGCCAACACAGCTAGACACATTTCAATAGCTTGACTGCAGCCACTTGTCAGAATGACATCCTGTGAAGCAAATAAAAGGTTAATTTCATTAGGGATTCCAACAGCAACAGGAGAAAAGAAGTTGTCAGGTAGGTGAATTGGGAGCAATTGTGAACTTCCTTTAACAAGTTGTAAGTAGTAGGAAATGTACTAAGCCAAAACCAAAAGAAATTTATATATGTTGATAACTATTGTTGAAATGTTGGCCACTTAAACAAATCACTTTAAAAAGGACAGGTTGGCTGTGACTCAGCAGACTTCCATGAGAGAGCATGCTGGCCTTGGACCTTTTTCGCCTGGTTATTTATTTACTTTTGGCCAGAGATTTGAAGTCTGGCTCTTGTCTGACATACAGGGACAGACACATATTATGTTAGAAAATGCTGACCCCACACAGTAGACCATAGAGGGAAGGACATCATTTAAACTTGGCACTGCCATCAATTCAGTATGTCCTGGTACTTCTATCTTTCTCTCTAAATGACCTTACAGTAAATGAGAAAAGCTACAATTTTTTTTTAAAGATCCTATTGGTAAAATTTTTTTAAATAATTTTTTGGTGTTTATGAGTTATTCTCAAATGATCTTTTACAGACAATCAAATATAGGTGCTCTCTGGATCCTTTCAGCCTCCTTGAGACAGACACCACATTAAGTTGTATGGGATGGTCATTCTCACACTGTAATGACATTAACTGTAATCACTGATTAGTGACCCCAACTCTATGAGAAGTCTTCAAATTGCTAAAGGGAAATTATTCTCAGCTTTTCCCCCTCTGACACCTGTACTTCTTGTGGAACAGAAACTAGGAAAAGAGGGGATAGTTTATCCTAAATTGCTTCAGAGCTGGTGTTTTGTATAAGGCTCACCTTAGCTTCTAGGGGTGCCTCGGGACAGTGGTAATAAGAAGCAATCTCCTCCCGACTAGATAGGAAGCCTGAAAGAAAAGAGTGGAAAGTGAAGCTTTTTTGGTTTTTAGAGACTGTGTCTCACTCTGTCACCCAGGCTTGGAGTGCAGTGGCACAGCCATAGCTCACTGCAGCCTCAAATTCCTGGGCTCAAGGGATCCTCCCACCTCAGCCTCCTGAGTAGCTGGGACTATAGTTGTGCACCCCCACACTCAGCTAATTTTTGAATTTTTTTTTTTTTTTTTTTTTTTAGAGACAGAATCTCCCTCTGTTGCCCAGGCTGATTTCAAACTCCTGGGCTCAGGGGCTTCTCCCACCTCAGCCTCCTGAAAGTGCTAGGATTACAGAGGTGAGCCACTGTGCCTGGCCAGAAGATGAAGCTTTCATCCCTGAACTGACAGCTATGCCCTGGAGGTCCAGCATGGGCTTCAGGCTGGCTCTGCCCCTGCTCATAGGGCATTCTATTTAGTTCAGCTCTCAGCCACTGTGGATAAAGGAGATTCACTTCACTTTTTATGTTTCACAATTTTAGTATAAGCACAAATTTATAAATGATAACAAGGAAGAGCTCCCCAAATACTCTGCACCATCTTATTTCTGTGATTATGTTTTATTCTGTGTAAAATAAGGATTTCTATTATTCCTAAATCTTTTTTACAGACTGTATTTTTTAAGAAGTTGTAATCACTGGGTGCGGTGGTTCATGCCTGTAATCCCAGCACTTTGGGGGGCCGAGGTGGGTGGATCACCTGAGGCCAGGAGATTGAGACCAGTCTGACCAACATGGAGAAACCCCATCTCTACTAAAATTACAAAAATTAGCTGGGCATGGTGGTGCGTGCCTGTAATCCGAGCTACTCAGGAGGCTGAGGCAGGAGAATCGCTTGAACCCAGGAGGCGGAGGCTGCAGTGAGCTGAGATCGCGCTACTGCACTCCGCCTGGGCAACAAGAGCAAAAAAAAAAAAAAAAAAAAGAAGTTGTAATCAATGCATTCAATTCATGTGGTCCATTTTAAGTTTTTTATGTTACGTAATATTCCTATCAGTATTTTGTACATATTTTTATTTCAAATTATTTTTGTACAATATTTCCAAATGTTGGCTTACAAGCTTGAAGTATCAGCAGTTTCATGCCCATCCTAATATTTTGCAAAATTTATATTCAAAAAGACAGGTTAGCAAGGCTAGAGGCACTATTTCATAATGTTTACTAATTTAATAGGTACAGATGGATCTCTCAAAATCATACAAATCAGCACTTCCTTAATTACTAATGAGGAAGAACACGTTTTTAGATATATATTAACACCTGTATCTCCTTTGAAATGAAATATTCAGAACCGTTGAACATTTGTCAAATGGAGCTTTGGTTTTGGTTTTTCAGGTTCAACCAGTTTCCTAATACTTTGAATATTAAAGTCATTAGAAACTTTTCTTACAACTTAACTTTTGGTCTTGATTTTGTTTTTATTCTTGTTGTATGAAACTTTATATAATGTAAGTAATCAACCAAAAAACCACGAAGTCCCTGATATAACTCTTTAAAGTGTTTTTAAAATTTGATTTTGTCATGAAACTGGAGTTTTATTCTGCATTAAGAATGTGTTTCTATGTACACATAAGGAAAAAAAATGTTCAACATTGAAAGTCAAGGAAGCATGTACTTTACCAAAATATTCAGGGTAGAAATTTTTAATAGATGGAGAGAAGTAAACCTAAAAAGGAGTAATTTCAATCTATCAGAAACAACCTTCTATCCTTCAGTTTGAGAGCCCATTTTTTGTTGTTCTTGGGTGTTTGTTTATTTGTTTGTTTAACCTCTTTAGTCTTAAATAGTAACAATTGCATTTCAGTGTGCTCAGGACCATAATGAAAATAGGCTTTCAATACACAGAGAAGCAGAAATGAAGCAAAGGAGCTATGTACACAGGGCAATAAGTAAATCCATTTAGGACCTAGAAGCTCAGCAAACACGAAGCTCCTGCCAGACTCAAGGCCTTCAAATTAGAATTAGTAATGATAGGACAGGCACTTTACTTGACAAATAAGTATGTTTGGGAGCCTAGAGGGGAAGTGCCCATATGCTAAAGAAAGCCAGGAAAGAAGTTGGACCTTGATGCCTTGTATTTAAGCATTCCAAGACCCCTTTCCCAAATCCAAAGGGCCATGTAATCTTAGCCTCTCCTTAGGAATTATACATCAGGAAGTGAAGAGAATTACTAGACATTTGGTCCTATTATTATAGCACTAAAGATTTGACAGCCACCAGGTATGGAGTGTCAGGAGGGGCTTACCGATGGATGGGGCATAGCCATTATATTTGCCGGAGTCCAGGGCATCTTTCATTGCCTGGGTAACTTCAGGGTCTGTAGGCAGGTTTCCAAACACAGTAGGGTCCCCTTTTTATGGGAGGAAAAAACAAAAGGAGCCAAGAGGTTATTCTCCCATGTTCAGTACTTAGACTCACCCCCAACTCCCATCTTCTCCAACCAGCCTGTGAACATGAGAGTAGAGGGGGACAATGACAGCCCCTCAGTAGTGTCCCCCAACTCACCAATGGACAGAGAAATCATGGTTTTGTTTGGATTTGGTTTCACTTTCATGTTGTCCACAATGGCTCGGATGGGGTTGAAAGTTTTGTTGGCCATGTCTGAAGGCCTCACGGACCACCTGGTATTCCTGCCTTTCATTTTTCCCGGCACAGAGCTTCTCCCACCAACGCTGACATGCACATCCAGAATTGAGGGGAGGTTGCCTTTGCTGCTCATCTGAATCACGTATGGGTCCATCACTAGCAAAGCCTGCGAGGGGAAAGAAGGTCCCTGTGATGTTGAAAACATAGCACTGGGAGAGAGAGGAGCTACATTTGGACCTAAACATTGGAGTGACTTCACTAAAAGTGTCTTTCCAAACTCTCTCTTTTTTTTTTTCTACTTTCTCTCATAAAGTAGCTTTACTATGAATGAGGGGAGTTTTAAGACTTTTTACTGAGATGGAAAATAAAGCAAGAACCCATCATACTTAAGTAGGATTTGCTACATGCATCTGCAATTCCTGTCAAAGCTTAGCCACGCTCTATGAGAAGCCAAGAAGGAATAACATGAAAATTGTTCATCAATCAAAGAATAGGTGCTCCCTCCTTTCCATGCGAGCCTATCCAAGAAAATCTACCTAATGCTTCTTGTTATCTACAGAGAACCAGGAAGAACCACTCCATCTTGTTAGAAGTTCCATGTAAATATCATTGTTAGTAAAAGTAAAACCTTATCCCATAAGGATCCTACAGCCCTAGTTGGAAAAAGAAATCAATACACCAAAAAGAAAAAAGTGAACAGCCCAATCAGTCACCACTGCCTGATCAGCCTGGCCTTGAGATTTTTACCTTCCAAGTAAAGGAGAAAGCAGCCTCCAAGAAGCGAACCCTGAAAGCTCCCTTAGCTCTTCTTTGACAGGTTACAGTGGCAATGAACTCAGATGCAAATCCTGACTCCTGAAATAGTCTCCACAAACGGGCGTTGAGCCTGAAACTTTCATGCCATTGGTTGGGAATGAGAGCTCAGCAGCCAGCCCTCCCCTCAGCTTCTTTCCTCCTCTCCCCTCCTCATTGCCTCTTATCCCTAAGCCCACCTCTCACCTTCAGAGCAGGAATTTGTCCTCACTTCAAACATCTGGAATTCTCCTGTGTTAACTCTTTCTGGGCACTTGGTGAGATGATTTGAGAATATCTACTGTCAGAAGGTAGTTCTTATTACAGCTGATAGCTTTTATTAAATTTTTTTATTGTTACAAAGCAGCCTGTTAAAATTTTAACAGTACAGAAATATATAAAGTAAGAAGTAAGCATTCTTCCTTGCACCTGCTCCCTGTACACTTCATTCTCACTCCCAGGGGTAGAGGGTGGTAATGGTCAGGCTCTTTCTCTCCATTCAGAGATAGATACATTAGATATAGGTGCATAGATACATAATTTTATAGATTTCAAAACACAGATAGGATCGTGCTCTACACCTTGTTTGGCAACATTTTTTTTTTTCACTTCCTACATCTTGGACACCCCTCCTTGTCAATCCACAAAGTTTTGCTCCAATCAGAACAAATTGGGCACTTAAGTTCCATTCAACAAATATCTGAAAAGCGCAGGGTTTCCAAGGCAGTGGAAACCTGTGCAGTTTTATCCTTGCACTGCGCGTGAATTCTTCACTTACCTCCTATGGTTATTGGAAGAATTTAAAATGTCAGGTGCGATCTACACAAAACAAATTTGCTAAGCAAAACACAAGGTCCACAGCCAAAATCTCAACATTCCTGTGAGCAGATGGAAAAGACCACCCACTGAAGGGTTAGGAGAAGGCTCAGTGGTCTCCCCAGGTTCAGATCCTATCTGTATATTTGTTGGAAGACAAAGATTTTTCACATCAGTTTGTTCTTCTCCATCCACTTTTCAGGGAGTCAAGCCTCCAGTGGGGTTGAATATAGTAGTCCCCCCTTATCCACAGGGAGCTCACTCCAAGACCTCCAGTGCATGCCTGAAATTATGGATGTCTGAAACCATGGGTAGTACTGAACCCTAGGTACGCTATGTTTTTCTTATACAGTAATGGCCGGTAACGTCTATAGCATGGATACACTAGAAAAAATTATTCACGTCTTGGGCCAACGGCATCCTTGTCATAAATGTTAGTTTACATATTTTATTATTTCCTTAAGACAGATTTCTATACATGGACTTTGTTGAAAAGAATAAGCATTTTCTCTTTTATGTTTTTAGTAAATATGATATATCCTTATATAATAAATTCAAATAGAGATATACATGAATTAAACCTTGATCACCTTCCCTCCCTGCATTCCCATTTCATATAAAAAAGCATTTCTAGTCATTTCTTATGTATCCTTCCAAATGTTTTCTATGTTTACTACAATACGTATATAGCTGGTTTGCGAGTTGCTAAAAAAATAGAGACTAAAAGTGGTCTATAGTTGCACTGTCTAATATCGTAGCTACTAGTCATAAGTGGCTGTCAAATACTTGAAATGTGGCTGGTCTGAATTAAGATGTGTTGTTGTGGCTGGGCGCAGTGGCTTACGCCTCTAATCCCAGCACTTTGGGAGGCTGAGGCGGGTGAATCACGAGGTCAGGAGATAGAGACCATCCTGGCTAACACGGTGAAACCCCGTCTCTGCTAAAAATACAAAAAATTAGCCGGGCATGGTGGTGGGCGCCTGTAGTCCCAGCTACTCGGGAGGCTGAGGCAGGAGAATGGCATGAACCCGGGA